CTTTCCGGCGGTACCGGGCTTCAGCGTCAGGCGGCAGGTTGGCAGCTGGCATCGGCGCCCTTCCCTCCCCACCCCCGCACTGCCGTTCACGGCTTGTTTTGGAGACCTCGTGCTGACAAAACCCGTCTGCGCTTCTCAAGGCGATTTTTCTTATCTTTGTCTTTTCCGAAAAGCACATTAAGGTTTAATAGGTAGGTACGAAAGCGGTTACTCGTGAGGTTACCGTGGCGGTTGTTAATGCCGTGAGTAGGGGGGAAACGCATGGTGCTGAGAGGCCTTTAATTGCTCTGACATCTTCAGTGCCATTTCTGCTGCTTGACCTTTATCAGTCCTGCCATATGTTGCATTGGTTTCTTTCATCCTACTATTAGGCAGGAAACGCTCTATTCAATTGCACCGGTTTCTCTTGCTGCCAGAAACAAGACCAAGCCCTTTGGTACTGCTTTTCATAGGCACACACACACACGAAGGTTGACAATATATTTTCTTTTCCTCCGGCCTTTTGGATTAAAATCCCCCTTTGCTGCATTGTTTATGTAGGTGAGCAAGACCTCCTGGATTATCATACCATGTGCCTTGCTTGGTATTAGTTTTGATTCCTCAGCCATAGGAAGAGAAACTTTCGCTGGCTTCCTAGGGAGTTTTAACCCCTGGGATGTTAACTCTTTTAACAAATCTGTATCAAGTGGGGGGACGACTTAGAAAAGGCAGCAGAAGGTGGCGTGCAGCAAGCGTATCATTGCTTTCCAAAGGACAGTGCCCCGTAGAGCTCAAATGTGAGATGACATCTGGCCTGTGGTATGGGCTCTGGCCAGAGGCTAGACCTGATGTACTCACATGAAGTGCAAGATTTTGTCCAAGTGGTAGAATAATGGCAGCTAACAAAATTATCCCTTGCAGGTCTGTTCTCTGTACATGGAAGTCAGAACTATTCGTATTTATAGGAAATGTCAAATGTAAGATGAACTTAGGATCTCTAAAAAGTGGGATGTAGGTGGGTTTTTTTCCAAGCACTTACGACTAGAATGTCATTTGGGAAGCACATGCACAAAATTACATGTTGGAACGTAGTTGTAACTTCTAGAATCTTTCATTTGAGGTTATTTGTGATACAGACTAGCACAGCCTAACTCAGCCCAATGAGTTTGATGTGCTTGAACTATTGGAAGATTTGCTGATATCTTCTATTTTAGGTACACAATTTTGCATCTTTCAGTCAATACAATATTTCAGGTGAATTCTGGCTAACCACCTCTTGGAAGAACATAACAGGGACTCTAGTCTTCTGTTTCTTCATTTCTGTTATTTTGAAACCAGTGCAATGGAAATGGCAACAAGTGTTGCTTGAAGGAAGAAGAAATGTTGCTTTCATCAGGAGTTGCCATGACTTTCTGATGGGTGTGTTCATGCTGTAATATGGAAAAGGTCATCAGCCTAGGTCGTTGTTTAATGATGAACTAGAGGCTGGAGTTTTGCACCTTTAGATACATTTCGGACACTTACTTTACTTATATAAACATCATATCAAACTTATTCTGCATCTGAGGGAAGAAAAGGCTTTTCTGAAACGGCAAAACCCATTCATTTCCTGGTCTCAGAATAAAAGTCTGACTGCCGTGGTTTTAGTCATAAACCAAATGCAAAGTGTACATTGTCTTGTGCTCTGCATAGCAGTGCAATTTAAATATTAACTTAGGACATACATTACACGCACACTCAATGTTAATGTGTATATATGTAGAGTAGAGAGAGTTTCTGCTCCGACTTACTTGCATTCCCAAAGCTTTGCACGATAAAAAGCCAGGAGACCTGATAGGACAGCCTCTGTCTCGTGTCACGCTACCGCACGTGCGATGACAGAACGCTTAACGATTCACTGACTTCTAACTAGGGGGTTTCTTTGTGCAGCTTATCTCTGGTCGTTTTTTAGCATGCTTGCTCATATATATGGGATGAAAGCATCTTAAAGAACATGCACAGTGATGCAAAGTTTTACTAGAAACAGGAGTAAACAATTTGTCTATTTTTTTGCTAAGCAATAGTCTGCCGTGACTTGTTTACAGTTTCAAGTTACTTTCTTTCCATCAATATCCTGCGATGCCAGTTTGAAGTGTGGACATCAGTAACTGCTATTTCTACAGTAAAACAGAGAAATGCTGTTACTCTGCAGTGTTTGGTCTTAAAGAGTAAGCATAATCCAGAAACCTTATGTGATACTCCTTTAAAATTACAAGTTCAGGTTTGTTTATGTTCAGGTTTAAAGGTCAGGAGTATGTAATTGAGGGGTTATGATGCTATGTAATTTTTTCTTGTGCATTCTTTCATGTATGTCTCCTTTAGTGGGAGAGTCACAGCTATTAGGATGACACAACATGTTGCCACACCTGGCAAACATTTCAGTTCTCCTCCACCTCTTTCCTCCTCCACCCCCCCTTTCCACTTGTTTTATAAACTAGAACCACCATTAAAGTGATTGTGTGATGATGCTGTCTGATTTTTTTTTCTTTTTTTTTGGTTCAAGTATCTTTTAGGCATTATATGGTATGATTGTGTTTGTGAGACAGCCAGGCACCTAACTGAAGTTACATAAAAGAATTCCGTGTCAAAAGAATGGTCAAGTCACATACTTCCTGCAGCTTTAGTATGTACATTGTCATTAAAAGCAGAAAATCAGAGGGGTCGCTGAAAGAGACCTCCCTGCTTCAGGGGAGATGGACTAAAGTCTAAGTCATTTCAAGACAAGTCTTAGACATAGCAAGAACCTCTAACAATAAACTCCCTACAACTCATACACGGAGCGATCCAGTGCACGTTTTCCTGATGTCCAGACTTCTCGTGTCAGTCTTTCATTCTTTTCCCAGGTCCCTTAACTTCCTTCCCTTCCTCTTTGAGGAAACTACTGTTATTTACCTTATGGAAGACTAAGAGAATTTATGATTTCTAGTGTTTAACAATCATAGTTTTTGGGGATAAGAGTTACGACTTACAGTTGTTAACATCTTCTGTCTGAACATTAATTGTAGTGTAAACCTAAACCCGAAGCACAGCCCTCTTGCTAAACGTTAGTAGAGTTAAAGGGTTTATTCTGTGGGTCTTGCAAGGCATGTGCCAGTTTCTACATCCAATCATCCCAGCCAATATTTAGCTTAGGAAAAGCAACTGTAGCCTGTGCAGTTACACGTACGTTCTCTGTTCTTCCCCCTTTTGGGTTTTGTCTTGGTGGAAGCAAGGTATTCCATATCCTTGTGGTGAGGAGTAACACCCCTTCCAAGAGCAAAAAGGATGCAAGAACACACTGAGTCAGCATCTCATTTAAGCTTAAGGGCAGATCATGCCTGAGCAACCTGACTGCCCGCTCATCCAGTCAGTCATTTCACCACAGGGAAGAGCCGTGGATGTTATTTACCTTGACTTAAGCAAGGGTTCTGACAAGGTCTCCTGTAACATCCTTCTGCCCAGAACGGAGAGGTACGGACTGCCACCCGGGTGGAAAAACTGGCTCGATAGATGGGCTTAAAGGGTTGGGCTGGGTAGTTGGGCTTAAACTGATCAGTGAAGTCTAATAGGTGGGCAGTGATGAAGAGGTTGATTTTGAGGTGAATACTGTTAAACACCTTCAGCAGCAGTCCAGTAGGATGCATAGTCCTCAGTCAGGCTTGTGGGTGGTGCCAGCTAAGGAAGAGACTGACTGACAAGCTGGGGTAAGGACAGGTCTTCTTACTCCCTTTCACCGTGGAGTCGAGAGGGGAAGAAGCATGTACGTTAAGAACAAGGCATAGGTTGTCCTGGTTTGGCTTGGCTTGGCTTTTGATTCCTCAGCCTTTTGATCACAGAACTGACTGTTACTGCGCAGGTGAATTAAAGGTCTGAGCACAGCCAGCAACTGTCTGTGCAGGATGGACAGTCTGAGAAAGGCACAGCCTTTGCTGTGATCTCACTGCAGAAGGGATGTTTATACCTGGCATGCCATTGAATACCAGCCATCTTTACCCTTTTCCTTAGGGATGTGCCATCGTGGCTCCAGGAGTCACCCACAGTTTCAACACTTTATACACTTACCCATCTCCCTTGTCCCCTTCCTTTCTGGAGATGTACTGGTACCAGCCTGGAGAGAGGCTGACTGTAGGAGCAGGCTGGGCATCGATACCTTTAAGATTCTCTGGCATGCCACCTGTCGTTGCTGTAAACAGAGTTGGAGGGTTTATAAACTTTTCAGTACTGAAACCTGAAACAATCCTATTTAAGTCTGAAATTCTGTTACAGTTAAATACTGCTTGGCTAACTGGACATGTCCGTGTTTTGGCTGTTGCGTTTTCACAGACCCGGTCCCTGCTGGGAGTATTTGAAGAAGATGCTGCTGCAATTTCCAATTACGTCAATCAGTTATTTCAAGCCATGCACAGAATATATGATGCACAGGTAGTGTTAATGAAATTCCTGAATGCATTATAAAGCTTTTGAACCACATTCTCTGTGTTCTGGGTTTTTTTGAAATTATTATAAGCAGTATTTTTTTAAAAAACTTTCCCCTCCTTTTTTTTTTTTAAATGTGAAAGTTAAATAAAATAGGAATTAAATGATTGTTTCTCTGTATGTTAGGAGTGATAAACACTAAATTCTTGTGATTTCCTTTTCAACAGAATTTCCTCTAAGAAATAAAATTATTTTCTGCTCTTCTAATAGTTTTATTTTATTTCCTAAGTTTTTCTAAGATGTTTCCCATCATGATCTTGGTGTGTATAATAATATGTGCCAAGTGGGAGATAATATTTTACCCACAATATATTCATGTTTCACTCATCATCTATAAGTAACTGCATTTTTATGCCAAAGGCAGAATCCATTTGGTGTGTTTGCTGAAATGTTGAGTTTATGGCTGTATTTTTCATTTCTATACACTTGAACTGTGACTTTTTTACTGTTTTGTTACTCCTGCTTTTCATATTTTTATTTTGCTACTGTTTTTACTTCAGTGACTAATGTGTTTATTGTAGGTTTGCTGCTCTGCAGTTTTATTTTACTGCCTTTCTATTTAGCTTTTAATTTCTGTAATTTCTCCTTCAACTGCTTCATGAAAGAAGAAGTTGTTCCATACCATGAATCTGCTAATTGGGTCCTGTCTGTGGACAAGTACAAAGCAGTTTGTAACCCGGTAGTACAGAGGGTCACTGTAATATTTTCTTTCCTTCACAGATAACAAATTCCTAATATTCCTTAATTAGGGCAGCTAATTTGAAATAATTAAATGCAAATATGCACTACATAACATGAAAAATGCAGAAAGCATAGTACAGGCGGTGACCTTTTTATTTGTAAACACTGATTACCTGTAACCCTCAGTAATGTCAGAGAAATGGAAGGGCAGGATGCTTAGGTGTTTGAAAATCTGTCGTTAGATTTTAAGTTCCATGTCTGTAGGCGTTTCCTCTTCGAATACGTGATATTTTTAAATCAATTTAAATAAAAAAGTAACAAGTTTTTGTTTTTTAAATCAGAATGAATTAAGTGCAGCAACTCACCTGACTTCAAAGCTTCTGAAGGAATACGAGAAACAGGTACCGTGTAAATCACTGTTATCTTTGTGTGGTCAGGCCTACGTATTTTTGTAGCCTCTTATCTGCCAGAGCACAATGCAGAATGCTTTTAGGTTTGGCCCAGATAAAGTGAACTGCTGTAGCTGGTGGCTTGAATCTTTGCCAACAGCATCTGCTGCCTTCAGGTTAGTTCTTCTAACTAAACCAGAATGAAGTTCCTCTTGCCATGGTGAATATTAATAAGTTCTGGAATATTTTACTTTTGGGTCAGCGTTTTGGGAGCTGCTTAAGGCGGTGGTGGTGTTTTGGTTTTGGTTGATAAACCTGTTTTCTGTTAAGTGCTTTAATTTTACTAGTCACAAAGAGAAGAGATTGCGTAGCAGTCTCCATTTAACAACCAGGGTTTACTGTGAGAATAATTCCATCTCTGAAGGCCCCGGCTGTGGAATCCATGACTTTCTCTACTGGTAGCCTGTCCTGTGACGAGTTTCCTGTTTGTAACTGCTGCTGGGACCCCTCTTCTAGAGATGTGTGTCAAAAACGAGTCACTCCCTAAATTAAATTAGCGTTGGACCTTTTAAACGATTTTTCTGATTTGTCTCCTTTGAACTGCTTTTTTCCCAGTCAGGAGCTTAGCTGAAAAGTACACAAATCATGTTTGATGTGGGATTTTGGTTTTTTGCTGTGACCATTTTGGTCATACTTTTGCCTCCATCAAGGCATTATAGAAGTAAACTCGTTTGGATGGCTTAAAAATTTTACATAATGACATAATTTAAGAGCTGGAAGTTTAAGGTGGACACCCAATATTGCTTAGTTTTTGATAATTTAAAAACAATTTGCAAAGCTGGATAAAAATTTTCATAGATGTCAAGTCTGCATATTTCCTTTTTTAAATTATTCATTAACTTATAATTAATTTACTTGTTTTTAAAATGGATTTTCTTTTAATTGCTGTTAGTTGGGATAGGGTTCATTTTCTTCACAGTAGCTAGTATGAGGCTATCTTTATTGTTTATTAACACTCCTCTCCACAAATACTCCTTCTTCACAGGACCATAAGGAAGTTCTTAACTGTAATATTTTTTAAACTGTGTAATATTTTGAAATGATAGAATACCTAATACATCCATGGACATGGTTAATGTAGTTTGGTGAATGGCAGAAAATACTGCAAACAATATTTTGTTTCCCTTCAGCGTTTTCCACTAGGAGGGGATGATGAAGTCATGACTTCCACTTTACAGCAATTTGCAAAAGTGATAGATGAGGCAAGTACTTGATTTGTTTCACTTCCTTTGCTAATGTCGTCATGTGTAGACTTGAACGTGCTTAATTATTCCAGGCTTTTAGTAAGACAGGAGGTACAGAAACAGCTTTCATTTGCCAATAAGGTAACTCCTCTGTATTGCAGCATATGTTTAAAGTTACATAACCTGAAGATAAAGATTCAGTTCAGCAAAATGAGGATGCATTGGTGAGAAGGAATGTAGTTTAATTTACTGTAGATACAGCCAAAAACCATTACGGAATGGCAGTTAGCAACTGTTTTTCATGGAGGTATTTGTATTGCCTGATAGCAGATCCCAACTGCCAAAGGAACCTCCTGCTGCCTAGACTGGAGACAGACTCTTCGGAAGGACAGTTTAGCACCATTAAGATCTGTATCAGGATTTTTTCTGTGATCCTTCTCTTTACTTTTAACACCACTTAAACACCATTTTGGAAGGAGGAACACATTTGTTCTGCCTCTGTAAGCAGTGAAAGATGGGCTGTGCTGTAGCTGGAGGGAACCTGGAGAAATAAATTGATTAGTGATCAGAATGTATGAGGCCATATTCTGACACGATCCAGTAACTTGGGATAAAGTAGGGACATATACTGAACTCTAAAGGTCTTGTATAAAAAGCTGCTGATGAGATCAGGAACCTAGAAGAGAATAGGTGCAAAAAAACATGTGCAAAACTATGTCTGAGTTGTACATGTCGTCTTTGAGTGAAATCGATGCCAACCAATAATATTGATTTGATTTGTTCTCAGCCGTGTTTGCCTAACATTTCCTTCTTTCTCTTGTCTGTTACAGCTCAGCTCTTGCCATGCAGTACTTTCAACTCAACTTGCGGATGCAATGATGTTTCCTATTACCCAGTTCAAAGAAAGGGATCTAAAAGGTAGAGTGCACGAACGAATACTGGTTTTATCAACAGCAGCAATAACAGAAACGTAATTGATTAATCTCCATCCTTGAATGTTAGAAGAAACTTTTTCACCGAAAGGCTGGTCAGGTGTTGGAACAGGCTGCCCAGGAAAGTGGTGGAGTCACCATCCCTGTGGGATTTAAGAGATGAGGTGGTTTAGGGTAGACTTGGCTGTGCTGGGTTGAGAGTTGGATCATAGAGGTCTTTTCCAACCAAAACAATTCTATGATTCTATAGCTCTTCTTTCACTAAATAGAATCGGACACTTACTTTCCAGCTCTCAAAAGTATGCATGTCCCAATTTAAAAAAATGTAGTTTATTTCTACTCAGGAGAGTATTGCACCTGAAGAACTTAACACCGTTACTGTTTCAACAAAATCATTACTTATAGTTTGGAAGCACTTATCTCGTACTCAGGGTGAAAATTTTGCTGTTACTGTCGACAGTAGAGAAGAAGAATTTTTCAGTAAATTCACATGTTTGGGAAATATTTGTATATATTATAATAACACCATGACATCAATATAATGTCTGGACTAAACTCAAAAGGCAAAGTGCCAGAGCTGTAGTACTTCTGTTATTAAGATGTAGTAAGGTGGTTCTTCAGCCCTGCTGGTAATACAGGTGGCTTCTTACATGCAGGCACAAGATGCTTCCGACTTCTTGGGTTGTAACAGTTATATCTTACTCTGCCTGGTCTAAAACAATATGTAACGTGTCTGATTATGACAGATTTTACTTGAGAGGCTAAAATGGATAAACTGGTGTAGCAAAAGGGCTTAAAATATAAATGGTAAGAGTTGAATCCAGAATCACTGAAATCCCTAACGTGAATGTCCTGGAGTGGGTATACCTAACGTGTGAAGGTTTTAAGTCAAACATGAAACAAAAATTCCAACTCTTACATAAGTCTCCTAGGCCTTTATGAATCTCAGAAGATACTTCTTTGGCAATAGTTGGTTGCAAAATTGTGGGTTAAATTGATTATGCTTTTTGAGCAAGGAAACATGAGTATCTCAAGGCTAATATTACTCCTCAGAACCTGGAAAAATCTGTCACTGTTTACTGAAGAAGCATCCCTGAGGCAGTAAGCGCAAATTCAGTTTTCCCACTGGAAGTTTCTAACCACCAGCTGATGGAGTGTTTAATGATACCGTACTTGTTAGGGACTTCATAGGCACTTTCTGTAAAGCTTTTCCAGGCCTTTTTGTCTTTGATTTACAGCGCTCTGCTTGTTCACATGTAATGTGACACAAAACCACAGTCACGAACAGAACAAGTGTCAGGGAGCTGTTTTCTGTTCCTGACACAGTGAAACTAAATAACCAGCTAGAACATGACTAATTTTAGGTAGGAGGAGTCAGTCTGGGGCTTTCCTTTGATCCAGCAATACTTCCCCATCTCCTGCACTTCCACTTCTCCAACTCAGACCAGAACTCTGACCAGAACTGGTGGTGACGCATTTGTATTGATGACCTCTTTCAAAGTCTTCTGAAGGAAGTTCCTCCTGAGCTCCTTACAGCACGGTATCTTTTTGGTAGGCTGGGCTGCCACATAAATGGCACTCAGGCCCAAAGAAGGAGCAGGCTTTCCCGGCCACATAGTGCCGGTGCTGGTAATTCTGCATGGTACGAGGTGTGAACTGCAGCTCTTCAGAAGTGACACATTGCATGAGAAACTGTAATAGATAAACGTTGTGTTAATGATGACTTAATTGGATTGTGATATGTTGTTTTGTAGAGATATTAACTCTAAAAGAAGTTTTCCAAATTGCAAGCAATGGTAAGTGTAAAATACTTAATGTTATAGATACTGTAAGACAACAGTGTTGTAGATTATTCAGAAAACTAGTGGAGATATTTGCACAGTTTAAGGTGACTAATTCAGGTGTCATTTTGTTCAGTGGTACTTATGCACCCAGCTTTCCTTGGTTCATTTGTAAATCCCTGCTTTGTACACCACAGTGTTACCGCAGATCAACAGTGTTAGTCTTTTTACTATACTTCTCATGTATATATAATTAATAAATGATTTAGGTTTATATTAAGGTGCTAGGTCACTTCTTAAAGTCAGGGCTGGATTAATAAAGAAATGTTATCTCCCTAAAATTAGCTTGATAGTTCTCTTCCTTATTGTCAGAAGTTACTTTTTAGCTAACTCTACTGTGTCCTCATACAGAACATAGTCATTAAGTAAGGATTCTGCTTCTCCTAATGTACATTTCTTCATTGCTGTAGAAGCAAGAAGGATTAGATCTAGGTTTTCCTAGTGGCAAGTCGTCTCTACTTATAGAAAGTTTCTGTCCTTGAAGAATATTAGATGTTTTGAGAAACTTGTAACAATTTGGCCATGTTTGCATTTGGTTAGAAATTTTCTTCGGCCCAACTATTTGTGGCAGTGAAGTAATTATAAACAGGCAAGAACAATTCTTAAAGGTTTTAATATGACAGAACTTTGCATTCAGCTGGCTGTGCCACACAGTGATATAAAAGTTTTTTTGGTCTGTTTCATATGTCTTTAATTTATCAAAATGATGGTAAATTCTCTCTTGATTGCTTAGACCATGATGCTGCCATCACCAGATACAGTCGGTTGTCGAAAAGAAGGGAAAATGAAAAGGTTCGTAAACCGAAATGCTTTCTATAAAGGTCTTTAGAGGAGATAAGAAATAATTTTCATCTAATACATACATTTATGATGGAAGACAAGGCATGGCACCAGAAGGTTGAGAGTTTTGTTTAGCAGTCTTGACAGTTTGGCTCAGAACAGAAAGGCAAGGTTCCTCAATACATGCCTGTCTTGTAACGCTGGAAATGCTCCAAGATGAAGGTTGAGATACTATATTCAATTTATTTTTGAGGAGAAATAACCACACTTTCCAGGGAGAAAAGAATGCTGTACTCCTTTTTCATGTATCTCGTGTATAAGTTAGAGAGGTGTAATTGTAGGGTAACATGCAATTGCTGATGACAGAGGGTAGAACATGACTCTCTTGGTTTTTCCATGCTGGCTCTAAAGCTGTCCAGAAGACATGTGATCCATACCAAGTCTCAAACCTTCCTTCCCCCCTCTCCCCGGCTTGTGTCTCTAGATCAAGTCTGAAGTTACAGAAGATGTATATACTTCCAGGAAAAAACAGCATCAGACTATGATGCATTATTTCTGTGCGTTAAACAGTCTTCAGTACAAGAAGAAAATTGCCATGCTGGAACCCTTGCTAGGATACATGCAAGCTCAGGTAATTTCAGATTACTGAAAGAAGGTGTAGAAGTGTTTCATGAAGGCCGGTGTACTGAAATCCATTGCTAGACCTCTTTTGCAATCTAAGGAAGCAAATAGACATGCGTGCCCCATCCTGCTCCCTGCAGCTGTCATAGCTCCTGCCGTGAACACTGTTGTTAGGTAGCACTAGTCATTTCCCACTCAGCATGGACATCCCTCGCTCCCACCGTAGGATCTTTTAAGAAAGCCTGGGTGACAAATATGAAGGTCTGGTTCTACCCCCAAACCCAAATGGCTAAATTTAATGCACTGCCTAAATTTTCATTGCTGGGTACTTGTTTCCACTGGATCATTAATAGGAGTTGACAAAAACTTCCACACGTGGAAGTTAACATGGAAGCATACCTTCTTGGAAAGTAATGTGGGGACAGTTAAACTCCTTCCTGTGGCAGCTGTTCTGAGATGACAGTCATCTAAGCCACATCACTGCTGATTTCAACCAAGGGTGTGGAGTAGCTGCAACACTAAGATTCCTTCTGGCTTGGTTTTGTTTAATGTAAGTAAGTTCCCGATGGGTTTATTTGAGGATGGGTGCAATAGAAAATACAGCTATGAAGAAGTTCTTTGGAGAGATTTGATTTGTATTTTCAGAAGTATGTTGTCAGTATGTGGTGCTAAAAGGAGAAGAATAGTCAACCTTGCCCGCATCTGGCACTGCCACAGTGTCCCCAGTCAAAATCACATTCTACATGCTGTCTGAAAGCTGTCCGGGTCCAGGACAAACTCGATTCGTTTAGAAACTTGCCAACCTGTATTTAAGAACTAAGCCCTCAGTGTTTTCTGTGACAAAGCAGGTAGTCCAGCCTGTTGTTCAGGTGCAGGGTTTTGCTGAATCCAAGAATGGAAAGGGCAGGACCAGGCCCTGTACCTCCCTGTTCTGAGACTGCAGACGGCTGAGCTCAGTGTAGATGCGGCAGTTTTTCTGGACAGTGGAGTAGACCGCTTTAAGACACGTGCTGTCAGCTCCCCTTGGCAGGGTCCACAGCTAGAGGATGGCCCCAGACAAGTCCTCACAGGTTTCCCCTCTCCTATGCCCCCCAGATAACACCCCCACGTAACACAACGGTTAGCAGACTGGTGGGCTTGAAGAAGTACAGGGAGACCTTGGGATCACCGAAAGCTCAAACCTTGTTACTTTTCCAGGGCAGTTTCTGCATGTTCCCATATTTCCTCCAGACGGCTCTGTGCACGTTCTCTCCACACAATGACATCCCACTGCAGTGTCGGATCAACCTTCACTTGCAGACCAACACATGAATTCTGCTCCGTTTATAGAGAGGCTTTGGTGGGAATGAGGGATGAGAACAGATTTCTCGGAGAAACACTAACCTCCAATGGTTTCATGTGTTAATTGTTAATGTAGGTTTATTAATGACTAAATTCTCCCTTTTCTTCCTCTTATTTTTTAAAGATAAGTTTTTTTAAAATGGGTTCAGAAAATCTTACTGAGCAATTGGAAGAATTTTTGACCAATATTGGCACAAGTGTACAGAAGTAAGTTGGTTTTGTTGAATTTTGAACTTTCAAGACAATCGTTTTTCTGTTTCTACTTATTATTAAGTTATCTTTGTAAATAACACATTTTTTTACCTTAGTGTTCGCAGGGAAATGGAGTGCGAAGTAGAAAACATGCAACAAACTATAGAGGACTTGGAAGTAGCTAGTGATCCACTGTATTTACCTGATCCTGACACTGCAAAATTTCCTGTCCATAGAAATCTAACACGGAAAGCTGGCTATCTCAATGCGAGGAAGTAAGAGTAACTTGTTACTTCAAAATTCCAGATTTAAGTTTGGGAAAGGAAAGCTAAAAACGTACGCGATGTTTTTTTGCAGTTAGCTATGCTGGTTCTACATAGTTGAGTGAGTCACATGGGAGCTATTCGGTTTCTTTCTTGGGAGTCCTTCACTTAATTAGTATTAATTTCATTGTTACACCGACATGGTGGCATTCAAGTGCAAAGCACAGTTACCCTGATTGTAGTCTGTTTTTTGCCTGAATTTTCACGTCAAAAAGAAAAAGCTTATGAGAGTGTAATTTCCCTGGATTGTAACTGAAAGACAAAAGGATTGCAGCCATCATGATCGTTACATAAGTATCTGTTAAGCTTTGGGATCCAAGTTACTAATAAGATACCACAAGACCTACAAAGCAAAACACGCTCTGTCACCCGAACTGCGGGTTGAACGGCCTGCTCCGTTGCGTGAGGCCGTCTTTTGCCCACTGGAGGGAGCTGTCACTCTGGTTATTAAAGTCTAGCAGCTGATACGTGTAGTTAGTAAAAATACCTTGGAACACACAGATTTTTTTCTTCTGTAATTTCTATAATAAGCTCCAAATATGTTTTTTAAAAAAGTAATTACTTTCACAACAGCAGTTAAAGTAACTTACTGAATGAGGCCTGAATTTCCGCAGTAGAACACGATTGCAGCAATTGAAATTGAAGAGAGTATCTGAGCGAAAAGGGAGGCTAAACTGCAAGGGTACTGATGTTTAATTTCAATTTCTTCCTCTTCTGTATTCTGCGGAAAAAAACCAAAATACCATCACGCTCTAATTGTGGAAATCTGGTTGGTACAAAATGCTTGGAAATTTGAGGTATCTTAGTGACTAAGCTAATGCGTAACAGAGTTCTTCAAACTCAAGCCATGTAAGCGTGGAGTTCAGGGGGCTTATCAGTGATATTGATAATGCATATAATCTGTTGGTATTGCTTTACATAATGTGCATAAAAGCTGATCATCAAAACCAAAGTACTCATGCCTTCTTATTCCAAGTTAAGTTTCACAAAATTTGAGAAAGCCATTATTTTATGTATTCTTTGCCCAGCAGTCGGTTTAGCACGAAAAACACAACAGATGGAGACTAATTTAACTGTAAACATTAAACAGGGAAAAAAGTTTTCTGAAGTGCCCAGATGGTTTGTTCCAAGTGATTTTCAGCTCATCTGAACTCCTAATCTGCTAACTAAGACCCTCTTTTTATCTTTTAGTAAGACAGGGCTGGTGTCTTCCAGCTGGGAGAGACAGTTTTACTTCACTCAGGGTGGAAATCTGATGAGCCAGGCAAGAGGTGACGTAGCTGGGGGACTTGTCATGGATATTGACAACTGTTCTGTAATGGCTGTGGACTGCGAAGACAGGCGGTACTGCTTTCAGATCACATCTTTTGATGGTAAAAAGTAAGTATTCTTACATTACTGCTACCTGTATGTAAGAGTGGCTCAGAAACGTAAGAAAAGAAAGATGGTATACTTTTGGCCAGATTATAGCTTGATAGATGTTGGGGGTATTCAGATGCAAAATCTGAGATGTCTTTTTAAATTTGTAATGTCTGGAGGTTTTTTTAGTGGATCAGTTCTACAATGGAGCTGAGCGGTACTTCAGAATAAAATGACCATAATCAGTTTACAGTGGTGTAATACTATGTTTTGTGAGTGCGTAGGTATCACGTGGGCACAATTAGAAGTTTGTTCCTTTTCTATTTTCAGTTGAAATGAAAACACAGATCTCCCCCCACCCCAGTGAAATGTGACTGCCCTCAGCCCACACACACTCTTCAGCCTTTCTTGACTTGCTGTATGGTATAGAGACATGGACTTTCCTGTCTGAATGTACTTGTGAGGCATTTTAAAGAAACAAAATTCTTTTCCGTTCTCTTTTTCCAGGTCTTCAATCTTACAGGCAGAGAGTAAAAAAGATTATGAAGAGGTAAGCTTATAGGTGGTTCTCTGGAGTCCAGTGATTTTCAGTTGCAGTTGGAATGCGCATTTTGTGTTCTGTAGGTGGTCAACAGTGAACTTTTAACTCATTCTAGACATAATGACAGGTTCCAGGAACTCTGACAAAATATTGCTGTGTTTAAATCCTAGAGGAAAAAATGCAGTTATGATTGCCACCAAGTCCTTTTGAGTATTAGGGCAGAAAGAAAGGGAACAAGAAAAAAGCTCACAGCAAAACAGCTAGCAGTAATGGAATCTCAAGAGATGCTGCTTTTCCTCCTTCCCATTCATGTTCTCCCAACCTCGTTTCTTTCTTCCTGCCTGCTTGTCAGGAAAGGAAAATAAAGGAAATCTTAGGTAAGGACATAGATAATGGTACAGACAATTGAGAAATGAGGAAAAACAGGTTTTCTGCTGCTGATGCAAGATGGGAAACATGTTTGTACTTCACAAACAAGCTGAATCCATAAATGTGAAACAATTGGCTTTTGGACTCCTTTCGAAGCTGGTTATGGTCAGTATTTCCAAAGGGCTGCTACGTCTGGCGACGCAGATTTACTCCTCCCTGCAGTGGATGAATACCAGCTGAGCCATGTCTGTATTCACTTACGAGGTCAGCAAGTTGTATGTGGCAGCAAATACTGATGGGGAAGGGAAATGGGAAGAAACCCTCCCCCCTGCCAGCAGGGATAGCTTTTCCCTGCTTTTTTTAGTTTTCTCTAGAGCTGGAAATGAAAAGTTTCTCTAAACTTTTTGCAAATAATAGCCTAATGTTACAGGCTTCTACTGGTCTGACAGAGAAGGTTCTAGTTATTGGAATTTGTGTTATATTGGGCAGCTTTGTACAGCTTTCTGAAGGCTTGCACAGACGGGCCAAACTGACAGATTCATTCCATTCGTAGTCTGTGAACAGTCAGATTTCTTCGGAAACAGGAACGGGTGTACTAGTGGTATAAAGTGTTTGTTAACTTAAAAGGTGGGTCTGTTGGCATTAGTTTTCAATACAGAGTTTTCAGTAAGGGGCAGGATAGGAAAGAAAATGTTTTAAAAGCACTGTTGATGTAAAATGTGTTTGGGCAAGCAGCTGGATACAGAAATATGGAAAATACAGTACTTTCAGCCTGGTTTCAAATTCCTCTGCCAAATGTTACATTGATATAAAATGAGCTTTTACGGTATTTCTAAGGTCTGTGTCAGGTTGGCCCTGGTTCATTTGCTCTGCTGAGGCTGTCCAGTAGCCTAACTCTGATACATTTGCCCTTGGACACCTCACCGGAGGAAGGGAATTTATATCTGCCTCAGCAGCTCAAACGGCTGATTCCCGGAGCCGCAGCTGCTGCGCTGTCTGTTAGCTAGCGCGGGTGACGACCCTCGCAACAAGCTGGGGTTCAGTGGAACGGCACCAGTAGGACGCACCTAATCCAGGTAGTCTTCTCCTTTGGAAAAAAGCAAGGAACAGGAGCAGGTGGTGTTCTGTAGCACAGGGAGGAAATAGATTCTCGCTTACAGATGGAAGAAATGGGCAAATGCCACATAGGGCAGATGGGATCCGTATAATACCTTGAGGAAACAGTGCAATCTGCCGTCATAGAATAAAGTAGTCCAGAAAATCCTGGGTTGTTTGTTCTTTTTTTTTAATTTCTTAAAGTCATGACTTAAGTTTGGTTTAGTTTTGACTTTCAGTCTGTTTAAAATATCTTTTTCAAGTCTGACACTGTGAGGTGCAGCATGCAGATAGCAGTGAATTGAATAATAAGCTGGGGCTGCAGAATACTGCTTTGGCTCCCTGAAGTTACAGAGAAAGTGGAAAAAGTGCTGAAACCAGGCAACTCGGGTATTTAATCAGGTTTGTTACAAAATGATGAAAAAAATGGTTTTTCTCTCTTTTTCAGTGGATCTGCACCATAAACAACATCTCCAAGCAGATATATCTAAGTGAAAACCCTGAGGTAACTTTACTGAAGTTTGTAGTGTCAGTACTGTTATGATGTAGATATGCACAAGAGGAAGAGGTCAGCTGGATCTCGTGGAGAGCGCAGACTTCAGCTGCGGGTGGCATTAATAGCTTGTCATGGGTAGGAGAGGGTACACTCCACGTCTCCTTCCTTTAAATGCTTCTATAGAAGGCATCAGAAGTATGTGACTTCTCTACTGGGTGTAACTGTTCCACGTCTTCAGGACCCTGCATTTGTGTTTTGTACATGATACTTGGTTACAAACTCAGATGGCAAATACTGGGATACATTCAGTTTTACTAGAGGGAACTGGCAGTCGTAGGCATTGGATGAGCATGGCAGTTCTGTAGCAAAGATGTATTTTGTCTTCATGCAAAAGTTATTTGCCTTTTGAAGAGTTAGAAATGGATTAGTTCTTACAGGTAGATAATTTGGGATAGTCAATTAATGTCATTTATATGGTTTACCTTTATATTTATATAGTGAATTGATACTGATACAAACCCCTATGGTGATTTTTACTTGCGAAATAAGGGGAACTGGCCCAACAGCTACGTTTGTGAAGATGAAGGAATGTAAGAGTCTCACAAGGGGTTGGGCTTTATAGCTTTTGTCATTCGCTTATAAATAAAACACAAATCTCTAAGCTTCTTTTGAGGAAAATGTTTTCAGTTATTTTTCTCACCTCTGTTGCAGGAAATTGCTGCACGTGTGAATCAGTCAGCTCTGGAGGCCGTTACTCCGTCTCCCTCCTTTCAGCAGAGGCACGAGAGCATGCGGCCAACTGTGTAAGTTAATGAATTGTGTAGATTAATGAACGGTAGGTCATTTGAAGAGAACATCCATAAAAAGAATCCTGGATAAAGTTCCAGAACAAAAAAACCCAGACAACAATTTTTATGTTCAGAACTGAATCTTTGATAGGCTAGAGGAAAATTTCTTGAACTCACCATTTAGCACTGGTTAGCATCCGCTGTTCCAAGTGATCCACATCGCCAGCTGAGTGGACAGTTCTGTCTGGTTTGTTGCGTGAAACCATGAGATGTTTTCTTGATGTGTCCAATTCCTGGAAGCAGACCTGAGATTGTTTTAACATCAGTATATAAACACATATGCAGCAAAATGCAGTCTGATGCAATTATTAATGCAAGTAGTAGCTTCAACTTATTTATATTTAACCAGGAATGTAGACTCTGGTTTTGTTCTCTCTACCCTGATCCTCCTCGGGTTTTTAGGGTTATTGGGTTTCATATCCAAGTTTTGGAATATTGTATTGGTCTCCCATATGGTTTAATTTTTTAGCATTAACCAACCTGAAACTAAGACATCTTTGTTGTGATTTTTTTGTTTTGTTTTAGACAATCTCGTCCTCCTGCAGCTCGTACCAGCAGCACAGGGTCTCTGGGATCTGAATCAGCAGCTTTATCGACACTTTCCTTGGATTCACTTGTTGCGCCCGACACTCCTATACAGTTTGACATCATATCTCCAGTCAGCGAGGATCTGCCTGGTCAAGCAAAATCTTCAGGGCAGTCGGGCAGGTAGGAGATGTAGAGAGAAGGGGAAAAGTTCTAAAGTTAATGTTACTAATTGAAAACCAGCAAGAAAACCGTGGCTAGGCTGCAGCTCCCAAGCACACACTGCCTTTGCCCCAACGCCTGTCACGACATGTGCAGTGGCCAGCAAAGCACACCGATTTTTTTAATTGTTAAATGGAGTTGTAAAAAACCAGCTTAATTACAGGCACTGGATTCAAGGTGTCATTTTCTGTTTAGCAGCAGCTTTTCTTGCGTTAACAGCTAATGCTTTTATTTACTGATTTATTTTAATCTTTTGGTTTCACAAAGTATTTTCCTCTCCTATTGCTTGCTCACCCAGCAGCTTGGGTTATTTCCTCTTGGAAACTCAAGAGAAATTTGGTAGCCCTGCCTCCAGGTGATGATGGCATACGATGACACCCTTCTTAACCTGAAAGGTGAGTGAAAATGATCTAGGCTTCTAGAGTAATCTCATGTACAGAGAAGTGAAAATTGTCTCAGACCTCTTCCCAAAATGTAAAAATCTCCTCCTTGTTTTTTTGTAAACTTCCCATTCAAAATTATAACAAGAACCTGTAAATCTGCACTTCATTTCTGGAACTCTACGTACGGAATTCAGATATTATGAAAACATATTTGCGGATCCAGCTGCTCTTAACAACAGAAAAAGCCAAAAATCTGTTTTATGTGACTCTAGTCACAATAATGTGCTGTATCCCCCTGCCCTCTAGAAAAACACTTGAATTTTTAGTTGCACCTCACAGATACATAACTGTTAAATTTACATATATTCTTTTTTTTACTTTTTCTGTTGCTGCTGTTTGGTGCAGCAGGGTAGTCAGTTGGCTGACCAGACCCTTCAGAACATACTGATTTAAAATAGACTTGAACAGTATTCCAGGAAGTGGAATGGTTAACACTTCAGCTAAATTGATGTCATCAGTTATAATTACGTTCTAGAAAATTGTACTTCTCATAGCAGAGGAGAGAGTTGTGTTCAGTATCTTCAATGAACCGTCACCCTCAAGCTGAACTGCAGTGTTTGCACAGACAGGCAACATGCTACTTGAGAAGTAGTAATTATTTAAAAAAGACTTTCCTTAGTTTCTGCTGCTGATGACATATTTAAATTTTATTTTTGCCTTGTGAAAGATCCTGTGAGGTTTTGCATTTACTGTTCCAGTCTAATCTTAAATGACAAGAAAAGCCTGAGCAGTAAAAGAGGCTAATAGGATGGGTTTCCCATTAGTCTGTTTTCACAGGGCAGCATTTCATGGGATGATTCTTGATTGAGTCCATGTTGTATAAGCCCTGTAGCAATGCAACCCAGACTTCAGAGCTCAATCTAGAACAATTTTATTACTTTAAACTAGACAGCTCCTAGTTAAAAGATTTCACTGAGGAACTAAAACTGGCATTCAGTATGACATAGATGTAACTGAACAAGAGATGGACTTATTTTTCTCTTAGTTGTGAAATTGGCTTTCAGAACACTAACTGTTGAGAGCTGACACCTTCATTATGCCACTGTAAAACCTAATTTGAAGTTTATGAACCCTTGACAATAGTTTTTTCAACTACCAGTTAGACAAAGAGAAAGGGTCTTTTCCTCTTCAGAAGTTCTAAATACATTTCCGCATTCCCCATGCTCTTCTCAGCATTGCTTTACCGATTTTGTAAAATGTAGACTTGGAAGCCTAGAGTATTTTCACTTTTCATTGTAACTGATAGTAGTTCTGTCTTTGAGAGCCAGAAACAGCCACATTTCTCTTGACCATCTAGGAGTAAAACCCCAGTGATGTTTTCAGAAAGCTGCATTTTAAACAAAACCAGTGACTTCTCTTCAGTGAGTAATTCAACAACTTGAGGCAGTGACGAGAAGCACGGTGCTCCTGTGGAGTACTGAAAGGGCTAACTTTTGGCTCTACTTCCCCAAGCTGTTCTGTGAAATTTCATCCCCTGAAATTCTACCTTTTCAAATAGTAACAAGGTCTTGACTTTGGGCTTAATTCAGACATTGAAAAAATACCATGTGAGCAAAACTCTCTATGGCAGCAATAGGATAACAATATCTGGTATTTTTCCCATAATTTGAACCCTCAAATACTGCAATTTATATCTAACTCCCGATTAAATTACTTGTCCCTATGGTTTATCACTCTTACTTGATGCAGCATGAGACTACTACATCGCTCCTTAGTGGTTCTTGTAATCTGACTCCTGCTTTAATGTTTTCATTTCTTAATAGACGCACAAATCCGTTTGGTGAATCTGGAGGCTCAAAATCTGAAACAGAAGGTAAAGCAAAAATTTTATTTCAATGCAAAATAAAAAAATAGAATTAGAAAATTATATTTGTTTTCATCTGTAGCTTCTCTCTTCCAATGTAGCAGCAGTTTCAGAATGCTTAGTCACATGGGCGATGTCCTGGACAAGTTAAATCCTGCTGCTGTCTGAGAGTCTCTTTAAAAAGAATTCATTGCAGCTTTCGCATTTATTAAACCAAATGCAAAGACATGGGACTTGCTGTTTAGTACTTGCACACCCAGGTCATCAGTAAGGGCAACCTCTTCCCCAGTTATTAGAAGTTTGGGGTTTTCCTGATGGCAGTCGTTGGTGTCGAATGGAAAACTCGTGTGGGAGTTCACCTTTCTCAATACTTTTCTTTGTCTTAGACTCAATTCTTCACCAGTTGTTCATTGTAAGATTTCTCGGCTCTATGGAGGTGAAGTCTGATGAAAGTCCAGATGTTGTTTATGAAACAATGCGTCAAATACTAGCAGCTCGTGCCATCCATAACATTTTCAGGATGACAGAATCACATTTATTAGTCACTTGTGACTGTTTAAAGTAAGTGTGCTTCCTGACTTGTACTGATGTTGCTTTACACAATGATCTTCTTTCACTTTGGTAACATTTCCTTTCTGGTTTGTTTTTTAAAAACACATTTTTAGGTTAATTGATCCACAGACACAAGTTACAAGGCTACGAGTAAGTAACTTTGCATTTTAAGATAACTATCCAGCCGTGTAGTTCTTCTACTTTAAAAATAATATTAGATGTTGGCAAAAATCACTGACAGCCTGAGAGCTTCAGACAAATTTCCACAGAAGGAAGTCCTGAGCATGTGACAAGTTCTTTGGTACTTCATGTAGTGCTTTTTTCTGTCTTTACCTTTGTGGCATTAAGTTCCAGGCTGCCCCAAAGCTGTAAGCTTTAACAGGTGAGACATAGCAACTGAGTGCAGGTCCATACTGTGCACAAGTCAGGTGAGCAAAACCCACCCTCTCAGTTCTTAGCAGCTGCAGTAGGGGGCCTCAGAAGTGACAAACTGAGCCTTTGGGAAGTCTTCAGAAGAAACGTTTGGAAGTTCTCAGTCTCTCTTAGGAATGAGAATGCACAGTAGTTTTATTGTAACAAATTAGTGAGGATATGGGGCTTGTTTGCTGTGGGGTTTTTAACTTTTTTTTCCTGATTATGTAGTTTAGGAGTGCTGAACTAGTTGCAGTAAAGGTTGAGGAGTAGTAGGGCCCTTACCTGGGCCCAGATGTTGAAAGCTTAGTCACAGATTTGTGTGAATGGTGGCTTGGGTGTACGCGAAGGAGTGCGTTCCCATTCCGAAAGACGACTGAAGCACAGGCAGATGTGGCCCCCTTTCCTCACACAGAGTGTTGTTTTAGAAGGGTTCCTATCTTTTGCATAGTTTAATCCTTGCCTTCCAGTCTCCTGTTAAGTGTTTCGTAATTCCATGTTTGCTCAGGTTGTAACTTCTCAGGCGTGGTTGTGCATTTGTGATACTGAAGTAATTAATGTGCAGTATATCAAAACCTCATATAGAAAATATTTGGAACCAGTTTTAATAACCCTGCATTTGATCCTTTTTGGCAGTTTCCTTTGCCCAATGTAGTCTTGTATGCCACGCACCAGGAGAATAAGCGCCTTTTTGGATTTGTGCTTAGAACTTCAGGAGGGAGAGTCGAGAGCCGACAAACATCCGTCTGCTACATATTTGAATCGAATAATGAAGGAGAAACGGTATTGGTGCTGGTTACACTTGATTCAGTTTTGAACCTGACATGAGATGATTCAAACTGTCTAAGGGGTTTCTGTGGGAGAGTAATTTGTTCGTATACTGAGCTTTAATACGCTGTCACATCTAATTTGGGAATCTGGCTGAATTTTAAAGGCATTTTTATTAGTCTTTCTGATGATTTCAAATCTGTTTTGTGTTTAGATTTGTGACTCTGTTGGACTGGCAAAACAGATAGCTTTTCACGCAGAGCTGGTAAGAATCTTCTTGGGGTAAGGGGTACTTGTGAATGGAAGGGAGAGAGTATGTTTAATATGTGCAATAGAACGTATTCTGCAGGATGCCTGTGGATGCAGAAATACTGCTGTGGTGTATTTGAAGGGATTTGTTTTCTAGAATTTAAACCTGAGGTAAAAAGACTGACTGATGTCTACTGCAGAGTACTGTTCAAGAGAGGATGTCGCTTGCTGCTTTAACAAACACACCAGTCCTTTAAAAGGAGAATAATGAAAACCGTGGTGTAATAGTGTTGAGCAAACTCATATAAATTGGTAGTGTATCAAACCTCTCAGGTTGTTGTTACCTACTTTATTTAAATTTTTGCCCTTTAGGATCGAAAAGCATCAGAAAAGCAGAAAGAAATAGAGAGAGTCAAAGAGAAACAACAAAAAGAACTGAATAAACAAAAACAAATTGAAAAGGTACGCTTCAGAATTGCTTAATGTTCTTTTTTTTTTCCCCCACTTAAGTTTCTTTTGCAGTATTGTATTCCAAGCCTGACTATCACATTCTTCAGTACATGTTCACAGAACATTATGGAATTAATTATTAGAAGTATTACCTGTGCAGATATGGTTTTGTATAGTAGTTTTTTAAAGAGAGCTCTTCTGAAGAGAATAACCACAACACATCTATATAGCAGCACTTAAGAGCGGTGCTTGAAGGAATATCTGTCACAGGCCCAAAATGCGATCACAGAATGGTTTGAGTTGGAAGGGACCTTAAAGATCATCTAGTTCCAACCCCCCTGCCATGGGCAGGGACACCTTCCACTAGACCAGGTTGCTCAAAGCCTCATCCAGCCTGACCTTGAACACTTCAAGGGATGGGGCATCCACAGCTTCTCTGGGCAACCTGTCCCAGTGCCTCTCTGTGAAGAATTTCTTCCTTATCCAATGTAGCCCAATCCACATCTCCCCTCTTTCAATTTAAACCCGTTACCCCTTGTCCTGTCACTACAGGCCCTTGTAAAAAGTTCCCCCTCAGCTTCCCTGTGGGCCCCCTTCAGGTACTGGAAGGTGCTATAAGGTCTCCCCAGAGCCTTCTCTTCTCCCGGCTGAACGCGCCCAACTCTCTCAACCTGTCCCCATAGCAGAGGTGCTCCACCCCTCGGAGCATCTTCGTGGCCTCCTCTGGACTCGTTCCAACTGTTCGATACCCTTCTCATGTTGAGAGCCCCAGAGCTGGACACAGAACTGCGGGGAGCGGGGGGGTCTCACCAGAGCAGAGCAGAGGGGCAGAATCCCCTCCCTCGACCTGCTGGCCACACTTCTGATGCAGCCCAGGATACGGTTGACTTTGTGGGCTGCCAGCGCACACGGCCAGCTCATGTCCAGCTTTTCATCCCCCAGTACCCCCAAGTCCTTCTCCTCGGAGCTGCTCTCGATCCATTCTCTGCCCAGCCTGTACTTGTGCTTGGGATTGCCCCGACCCAGGTGCAGGACCTTGCACTTGGCCTTGTTGAACTCCATGGAATTCACACGGGCCCACCTCTCCAGCCTGTCCAGGCCACTGATTTCCTTGCTGAGGAGGGTTCAGTCATATAGGGAGGAAGGGGCTGCAGGGAGCGGGCTGCAGGGAGCAGGCTGTAGGTGTCCATACTTGTTCTGATCTGCTGTGCTTTATGGATTATAGGTACAGGTGTGTTAAGGTGTTGGCTGTTGTAATAATGCCAACTACTGAAACGTAGATGTTTGGGTTTCCTATTCAGCCTTTTAATTCCCTCTGTACAGAAAGGTGTCCATTGATAGCATTAAAAGACAGTTTAGAAATTATAATAACAGTGTTCTGTTTCAGTTGCAGATGGCTTTAAAGTTAATACTCTTTTTCTGATTTCCCACCCCCCTTCTCAAATTAGGACCTAGAGGAGCAAAGCCGGTTGATAGCTGCTTCCAGCAGATCGAACCAGAGCAGTGGGGAAGGACAATTTGTCGTCCTTAGCAGTAGCCAGTCGGAAGACAGTGATCTGGGAGAAGATGGAAAGAAGAAGAGAGAATCTGAGGCCTAAGGTTGCCTACTTCATCAGACTGGAATCATGGGTATATGTGGTGAAACGGCACAAGTTCTACAGGAAGTGAAATGTAGGTGGAGGGTCTGTTGTATTATATAAAAGACGTTGCAATCTCTAGACCCTAATATGCCTTGATTTTTCTTTCTCAATTAAGTGATCTCCATTTTCATGTCAGTATAAATTCTCTTCTGTATGCCAGATGAAGCGTGGTGATGCTACCATGTTTATTACAAAATTACGTTTTCTCAAGGCTTCTCTGCAGTGTGGAACAAACCGTGGGGTTTTCCCCTTACGTCTCTGCAATTGGCTGCTCTTGAGGCAGAACTTCACACTCATTGGGCTTCAGCAGTACACTGAAATTTGTGCTTTTTGCTGCAGAATGGAGAACACCTTGCTGGAAACAAAAGCGGATGTCGAAATAAGACAGTGCTAAGCTTTACCTGGTTTGTTGCACATAACTTAGATTTAGAAAGAAAAATCGTTATGAACATCCATGAGATGTGCAATATGCTAGACAGAAGGATCTTATTGTTCATTTCCTATTGCACTGTATGATACTGTCTTGATTTTTTTGGTGAATATAATGCTGAAAGACTTCAGTCAGCAGGAGGAGAAGATAACCGTCAGGCCTAGCTGAGAGGCAGTTGCACTTTGCTGCATGAGGAATGTATGAAGCATTCCTTATCAAATGATAAGAATAATGTGTATATTCTTGTAGCACAAGTGCCACGTTCTTGGTTTTTCCCCAGTACGTGTAGTAACAAGCCTTTGAGTTCCCTTTTTATAAACCATGCTTAGAGTTGCAGGAACACCATAAATTCCATCATTTGAATAATCTTTGGAATATGTAAATGCCTTGCCACCAGTACACTACCCTTACTGGAAATGAGTTGAGGCTCTGTAAGTCTTTTTATGGAAATAGATTTTTGCAAAGAGAATTTCCTAGCTCTGAAGTAATCCTACATCCCAGAGTCAATCCCATAAACACTTTTCAAAGCAGTGTCTGTTTACAGCTTGTAAACCTGAACTCGGTGTTCCATACCCTGTGTAATATTTATTTTGTATAGTACTAAATGTGCATTCACCTTTTAGATCCAGAAGAGAAAACTTGTTTGAAGAGAAATATTTATTTTTGCACTAATGACTATAAATACTAAAATCCAGTGGAATAGAAGAGGTATCTCTATTAGCGGCGTGAAAATAACCGAATGTAGGAAGGCAGTGTAGAAAGAGAACTTATACTCCAAGTTGTAACAGTTATGAGTGTTCTACGGTTTGCTGCAGGGCATTTCTGGCATCGAGGAAGGGAAACAGTTTTCGGAGCATCTCCCCTTCTGCGGGTGCTGGGCCAGCCCCGCACTGGAGCTGCTCCGTGCTGATAAAGGGAGTAGGGAATCTCAGGAACTCTGGCTATAGATGGCTGTAGGTGCAGAGAGGGATCTTGGCTCTCCTCAGGCACTGGAGCCGCCTTGCCTTGGCTGAAGGCCGCCGTCTCCTCCCACCCCTTACGCTGGGGGTGTGAGCAGTGCTGCTGTCCCAGGAAAGAGAGGGAGGGCGCCTGCCCTTGCTGCACCTGGGCAGGATCACCACTCCGCTGTGCCGGGGCGGCTGCTGCAGCGGGAGCTAGAGCAGTGGTGAGCAGATGCTGCTGGCACCACAGCCTGGGGAAGGGGTCACGGAGGAAGGGGAGGCTGAGCAGCAGGGAGCAGCCAGGTTCTTTTCCCAAGTTAGTTAGCAACTCCTCTTCCAATACATTTGTCATCCCCAGAGCAGCCAGGTACTTGCAGAAATACTTGCTTTGGCTCCTGGCCGGTCCGGCCAAATGGCATTGCCCTCTGGCCAGATCTGGCTAGCACACTGTCACATGGACCACACAAATCCGAGGCTCTTTTTTCTAAAGAGGAGTCGCATTTTTATTTCATAAGTAGTTTTCTGTTCTCAGCTCTCAAGAGACTGTTTTTATCCTTGCCAACAAAAATGTACAGAGAGGCAGAAGATGCAATTTTTTCCCTTTTTGTGCCTATATCTAGGCTTACAAGTAGTTGCATGGCAGCCAGTTTGTCTCTGCAAATCCTTCCAGTTCATGTTTCTCTCTTTTTGGTTTTTTCTTTGTTTGCTTTTACTTACTGATATTTCTGCTTTCTATCAACTATGACAGCACAGCTCAAGGTTACTGTGTCTTACTTGCGGAAGATACAGTAGGTACAGAAGATGAAGTAGTTCTGAAATGGCATCAGTCCTCTCCTGTCTGTGGCACGTAGTCCCCCAGGCTGTCAGGGTAGGACAGATGGTGTTGCCCAGGTTAGCTGCAGCAGCCCTGCTCCACATGGAAGACGGGTAACAGAGCAGCAGTGTCGCCAGAAAGCATTTCTGACGGGTTTGCGTCAGCCTTACTGAAGAAGTGTCAGAAAATGACACTATTTTTTTCCTGACACCTACCATTACTGTTTTAGACATACATCCACAGTGATGAGGAAGAAAGCAGGAGAAGAAAGTTGGCAGATGAATTTACTGTCATAAGGGATTTTTCAGATTTAACGATCCATGATTGGAATTACTCCACTTGCTTTTCTGGCTTTCCATCTATGCCCTTAAATGTAGTTTTCTAAAACAGGCAGCACAGGAGTGAAGGGCATTTCATTTGTGGTGGATGATTCCCATCTTAACCACTAAAAAAAGGGATATGAATGAAGGGAATGTTTAAAGAAAGACTGACACACATGAATGTAATGAGGGGTTTTTTGCTTGTTGTGCCACTGGTGCAAAATGAGGGGAAGAAGGATACAAAAGCAGCAGGGCGAGTGGTGAAGGCGGCCAGAGCAAATGGCAAGTCCGGAGAGATGAGCTGGAGTGGCGCAGTGAGTTAGTGGGGTGAGAACTACTGAGGTTTGCTGAAGGGGAGGGCACATGGCTTGTTCATTAGAAACACCTCAAGACAAATACAGCTGCCGAGCTGTCACCTCTGCCCTCCTCCAGAAATAAAAAACTATGTGCTGGGGTTTTTTTTCCCTATGAAGTTTAGAACTACCTCATTGGAAAACATTTTTGTTAATTAAAAAAGGAGCATGTAGTGTTTTCCTTGAGAGCATGACTTGTAATATAAACAGCTTGTGTGCTTCTGGGAACGGCCGCAGCAGGGTTTCACCACCTGAGCATTTGATCACTCTAAGTTACCAGTTGGTTTCCTCTCCTGCCATTTAGTTCTCCCGTTTGATACTTCCTGTTGCCTTTTACTTACAGACTGATCTTTCCAGCACTTCCGGCTGCCGTTTGCTTCATGCAAACCTATCGTTATTTCACACACTCCTGAGAACGTCCTTTCAAGCACCTGATTTTAAAGCGCCTTTGCAGAGGCACTGAATCAGCGGTGTCGTTTAGGGATACGTTTTTATGTTGCTCATTGCAGGCTAATAGTAAGTGCCACATGCGTCCCCTCAGGCGGGGGCTGTGAAGTTTGTTACACTGTGCAGATTTACACACTGCAGACCAAGCAAGTCTTGCTGTCAGACGTTTCGACTCCCATACGTTACGTATGTAACGGTGTGAGTGTCAAAACACGTAACGTGTGCTTATGGGCATGCATCTTACTGCATACAGACAGCACCCAGCTCTCCCCTGTGCCCACTAAGGAACTTCTCCACAACTAAAGCAGAAGACAGGAGTCACCCACTTTAGCCGTATGTATAGAATTGGTCACGAGTGGGTAGTGTGAACTAATCTGCGTTTGGTAGTCTATTACTTTCTTATCTGTTTAGGTTTGAAATTGGATGAAGGCAATTCACTGTCTAACAGGAAAGTAATATCAAGAGTTAAGGAACATTCCCCCTCTATAGTGCTGTCACATTTCATCTTCATATGGATGTAAACCCAGAGCTGAAACCCCTGAAACAGCTGAAGCTGTTTATGATGACATCATTCATGTACACTGATGTAAAGAGGCAAATCTGACTGTGCATGTGTTTAAGGTAAATTCTGATGAATTAGTTGCACAGAATTTAGGAGAAGCCAATGGAGAAAATGATGTTCCGATACAGTCTTTTGTTCCTAAAGAAATAATTCACAGAAAGAAACCTGCCTCTGCTTAGTGAATTTAGTAGAGAGGCCGTGTAGCCTGACAGCAGGAGCTGATACTGTATATTCTTTCTGTCGCTGTATTTTGCAAAATCTGTTGCAAGTCAGTTAGTTTCCAAGGCTTTTCTTTTTAACCAAGCAGTAAGTTGATTTTTATTTTCCTGCCACAGCAGTACCTAAGCTGTCAGCATAAGTCGGTGTGTCATTGTGAATGCACTCGTGTTCCTTACGAAGTGTGTGTTGCAAGCCAAGGATTTTGTACAGTCTGCCAGGTCGTTTCTATAACAGAGTGGAGTGGTCGAATCCTTCTGACGACATTCGGGACTGGTCCTGGTGTAGTGAAGTGTAAGTGATTTTGCAGCATTTGAGACTGACTTGCCCGTTGTCCCAGAACAGCTGTATTAAAAACCTCCAGTGGCATACCTACGTCAGCTTTGGGTGTTGTGTCTTCATCTCGGAAACGTGGATAGTACACACAGTCAGCCGGGGCTTCAGGCAGCATTTTGTACATTACATCAAAGCTTAAATACAGAAACTTTCTGGGTGGGATTTGTACTGATGCAAAAACCTGCATTTTTTGTGATACTGACTCCAGGGAGCGTGTTCCCTTCCACTGAACGAAGTTACATCCCTCTGTTGTCCAAGTGTGGCTCAGTTCTCTCAATTTTAGTCGCATTATCCAGATAACCCCAGAGGAAGTTACTGTACTCGGGAATTTTGGCAACAATCAAAGACTGACTGTTAGAAGATGCTTACGTCCCAGCTGGCTGCCTCGGGCAGATGTTGCTGTGGTCACGTGGCACCACGTAGTGCTCTGCGGAGCTGGGGCGGTGCCGACGGTCAGAATTCACACCTCCGGAGGCTGTACCAGCACCACCGTTACCGTGCGTACCGAGACATCCCTTCACGGGCGTCACTAGCTTATT